AGTGCCCTTGAGGACAGGGTGCTGTGTTGAATGAGAAGTGATGTGTTTTTGGAAGCTTGATTTTATTTTTGTAGTGCAGCTGTATAGAAGGAAGTGACACAGCCCAGCCGAAGGGGGTGGATGTGTGCTCCCTGGAAATCCTTGGATTTCTTTAAACTCTTTTACAGCTTATGGGCTGTTTGTCTAAAGGGTGAGGGTCTGAGGATTGGCTTTAATGCAGGTTCTCCCACTGTGGGTGTATTTATTGGTGGCAATGCTACAGTACAAAAGAAAGTCTGTTTATGGCTTATTCTCTTTCAAATAGCCAGCATGAAAAGCGCTTCTCTATTTTCTGTGGGATGTGTAGTTTGGACTACCTGGTGAAGTATAACTCCAGAGTCTTGAAGTCACAAAGTTTAGTCCTTTCAAGGACTGACATCCTTACAAACCAGTGTCGCAGAATGGTTTAAAAACAAGAAAATTCTGTTACGTTAAAAAAGATAAGAATAAAAATAAAATCCTCCTTTGACTTTCAGCCCGGCGATGCTGTGATGCGGTCCTCCTTACAGCTGGAAGGCCATCCTGCTTTCTCTGCATTTCTGCTTATCTATTCCAGTGCTTTCCATGCGATCTGTAACTTCATCAGATTTCTCCTTGTGTTTTTTGGCTGTTCTTTCCTACCCGCAGCCACAAGCTCTTTATGGCTAAGATTGTTTTTTGTACAGCTGGGAGTGCATGATTAAAGCTTTGCTTCTAAAATCAAATACTAAAATGAAAAGAAAAAAAAAAAGTGCAGTGGTTCAGGTAAGATTCAGCAAAGCTTAAACTTGAAGTGTATCTAAAACTGAAGTTTACCTAAGAAACCTTTAAAGCTGATCTTGAAAAGCTTGAAAGAATGGAAACAATTAAAACTGAAGAGTATTTAGTTCAGAGGAGAGAGGGAAGGGGGTAGGTAGGTTTTCCCAGGCATCATGCCACATGGATTAAATGTCCCTTGTCCTCTTGCTTGTTGCAGCTCTGGTCGGTGTTGGAGCTGAGAGGCGTTGTTCTTGTAGCTCTCCTTTCTAATGAAAAAAAAAAATTGCTAAACAGAAGACTCTGAGGCTAAGGTCTTCAGAACAGCACCGTGTTTTCTTTCTTATATACTCTTTGTATGGTCCGTGGAGCGAAGCAACGAGGAGTGGATGCTGGGAAGAATACAGAGCTGGGTGGTGAAACCAGTGTTTGATGCCAGCCTACAGCCAGGAAGGGCAAGCCTGAACAGGGAGTGATGGAGAAAAATCAAAAAGCCATTTTACATGGTGTTTCCTTACCGCTTGTGTGCGGGCTGGGCAGATCTGAGGACCATCGGCCTCACTTCCACATTTGTCCTTAAGATATCTACTTTGTCTGGGATGCCTAGAAGAAATAAGCTGACTAATTAAGGTTAAATTAAATGGTAGCTGGAAGTAGTGGATGAAGAGGATTTATTGCTAAGGCACTTGGTGTTTGTATCCCTTCCGACTGCCTGTGCTTGTTTGTACTCTCTTCAGGGCAGAAACTTTGTTTGCATTGACATTTTTACAGCACGTAACCAATGGAGCCCTAATCCTGGCTGAGGTTTTGGAAGCCACAGTAAAGCAAATAAATGCTTTTTTTTTCCCCTTTCCTTGTCAGATGTTACCATACCCAGAGAAATCAATCACAGTCGTTTGACCTCTTCCGTGAATTTTTTTGTGCAAAATAACGCTGAAGTTCTCTAGGAGAAACTTTAATACCACTCACTGCATTAATTCTCTAGTGCTTAACAGAGCAGAAAAGCAGTCTTCCCATTTTGAGAAGACTCCAGTAGCTTTCAATTTTACTGATCTGTGTAGATGTTGAAAACCACTGTTATTTTTAAGAGCTTGAACCTGGACTTTTATTTCATGTCCTAATTTCAAATATGCAAACGCAAGGGATTTCACTGTTATCCTAAGGGGGAAAACCTAATACAATTCCAGAAACACTGCAAGATAAGTGTCTGGATGGCTGCAGAACATGTGATAAAACTCCCAGATGCTGAAAATCGAAAGATTCAGCTATTTGCAAGAAATAATATGAATGTTTTAAGTATAGGCAACTGCTACCGGAGCAGAATTTGCTGGCTGCCATGAGGGTTCCCATAGCATGAATTTTTGTGATGGCTAGGAGCTGGGCGAGGGAGGTGGGATTTATATTTGCCTATTCTCCTTAGTTGGGCTTCCAAAGCAGTTCATGGGCAGCCCCACTGGTCTCGCAGTGGGGACAGGTATTCTCACTGCAATCTGCCATATCTGATAGAGCAAGTGCTACCTGCCTGAAAAGATAGAAGTCACTTTCTGGGGCTCAAAGCAGGCATCAACTTGAAGGATGTGCTCCTCTAATATTGGAGAAAACACAATTTAGCCTTTTTTGTCTTTTTCTTTCTTTCCTTCCCCCTCCCTCCTCTTATTTTTACACTTTAATTAACTATATTAGGGTCCTTCTGAATCTTGGTTTGATTATGACCAGCATGGTCTTTCTTTTGTTTTCCCTTTTCTTCCTTTTTCATTGGGTTTTCTTTTTATTTTTTAAAGGTTTTCAGTGGCTGTTCCCTGCCTACCCACTGATTGGAGAAGTTCCGTTGTCTAGAAACCTAAATTTAGTCCTTTGCTGACGCAGAGTAGTCATTCAGGCTTATCTGTCACTCAGTTTTTCTCATATGTTTTTGCCAAAACACTTCCTAACAAGATAAAATAAAATATCTTCCAAACCTGCCTGTCTGCTTGTAAAACTAAGTTTGCATCCTTTGAAAAATTGGACTGATGTGTGTATTATGAAATCATTTTAACTTACTGATGTGTAAGGGCCAGCTAGTAAGATAAGAGGGGGGAAAAAAAAAAATCTTCCTGGAAGAAGTATTTCTAGGATTTTTGTTTTCTTGTGTGACAAAACCAAGTGCTCACCAGCATCACCTTATTTCACTTCTGCTGCTTTGCATTTCTTTTGCCAAAACCCCCAATAAAAATGTTGTGAGTTTCAACCCTTAGGCCTCCCCTTTTTTCCTTGATGGGAAATGTCAATATTCTCCCTTCCTTACACATCAAGTATTTACTTCTTTTGGACTCTGTGACTTCTGGCACTTTTATTGCAGCCAAAAACCAACTCTGACTCTGAAAGACGTTACCCAGGGGGATTTTTTTAATGCCAGCCCATCCTTTCCTGACCTGTACGTGTCTTTCTCCTCTTTCCCATTTCTCCCTACTCAGCTGCTATCGGGCATCTGCTGGGAAGGTGACGGAGCAGGACAAAATGGTCTGTGGTTCTGTTGGATGGCAAAGATCTGAGACTTTGTAAAAATCCAATTGTGAAGGGAGCTTAAAAGGGAGGTTTTCCAACCATGGTTTAATTTCCATAAGACACAATACACACTCTTTGGCTGGATAACGTTTTGGTACCCCTGGTCAAGATGCTCAGGTTCAGAATGAGAGAAAGGCGTTCAGGTAGGTCATGAGGGAGATTGGCAGGGCTTGTGCTTATTTTTTTTTCTTTTTTCTTTTCTTTTTGAGCCCTCAGTAAGACTGGAATAGCAGGAGCGTGTTGTAGGGCAGAAGTGAGGATTTGCTTGCAGAGCTGGTTTTGGAGCTCAGCTGCCCTAACAATAGCTAGTGCTACTAGTCCCCTATTTTCATGAGTAAGTCAGTCTTTGTAAGAGCTGAAAATACAGGGAAAACGATCAAGCATAACCATTTTGAGGCATTCTTGCTGTTGGAAGGGGAATCTTGAGGCTGAAAATAGGTATGGATTTGACTAGATTTAAAACTATTGCAAAATATTCATCTGTCTCCTGGCTGCCTTGGAGGACCTTTTGCAGAGGGACTGTGTTTTGGTGAGCAAGCTTGGCCGGTAGCTCAGATGTTTTAGAGCAACCAGTACAAAAATGCTTCTTTGTAATATAAGGGGAGCGTGTGAGGGAGCAAGGATAGCTGGAATCAGCTAAGCAAACTTCGACTGTGGTTTAATTTCTGTCTCACTAAAGGCAAACTGTGGGATTTGGAAGAGAACGAAGTATGAACAAGATCCTGTGTTTTCTGTGTGAAAAGCAGAGTGGTATTTCATCCTTTTTTTAAAAAAAAAAAAAAAGGGTTTGAAGTATTTGCAGAGCATTACCAGTACTGCAGACACAAGCAACAGCAGAAATTCCATTTTTAATTGTTTTGCATTCCTTCATCGTAGGGTCCTGGGCTGCTTAATACGCACATTAAATGAAAACTTACAGCTTTTATTTAGGGTGAATATTTTCTACTGCAGTGGAGAAACTAATGCAAGCGAAATTCAGGTTCAACTGAATCAAAGCTCAATACAAATAACTTTCCCCAGGTCATATGGACATTCCAGGGGCAGGCAGACCTGAAAGAGGAAATTTTGTTGACTAAAATCACCTTGCTGGGAGGAGTAATGGTAGTTTTTTGACTATGAAAAATGCTGGTGCCAAAACATGAGCGTCATCTATTCTGAAGGTTTTTTTTCAGTTTTGCAAGGAGAATTTTTAATAGTTTGATTTTTAAATAGTTTTGAAACGTTTCTTGAACAAACAGTCCAGTGGGAGGGGAAAGAAAAGACACCAAAATAGCTTGGGCAAGGTAGTATCTGGCAGAGTAATTGGTCTTCTCCAGCAGCAGAGAGAACTACAAATCTTTATAAACATTTTTTGGGTGGGAGTGGGGGAATGTGTGGACAGATAGCAATTAAGGGTTGGGATATCTTCAGTGCCAATATTGTTGATGATTCAGATGAGCGCTTTGCTCTACAAATCATTTTAGAGTTGTCTTTGCCTAACGTGAGTATAAACTCAAAAAAAAAAAGGTGATAGAACCTTTTTTGATCTGAAAGAGAAAATAGAGAATTGTCGTGCAAGAGTGACTATGAGAAAAGTAATGTAGAGGTGATAATACAGCTTTGGAAATTTAATGTTCTGTAGAGTGTGAAGAAGTACTTACAATTTTACAAAAAATGTCTCAAATTTGTCTTTTTTGTTTCAGTGTTCTGAGGTCATGAAACTTAATCCACAGCAAGCTCCATTATATGTGAGTACAAAATTTAAACAGTTTTTTTTCCTCTCTTGCTATTCACCCAAAATGCCTCTTTTGGAGATACTGCTCCTTTTTTCTTTGCTCCCCAAAGACCTTATTTGTATTTATTGAATTGCAAATGCTCGGTGGTAATGCTCAGGTAAGTCACAGAGCTTCTCTTGTCTTTCCAGCAGACAATTTTAAAGAGGTTTTAAAACACGTTGTAATGTAGTCACTGTGCAGGCAATCCCCCTGCTTTTATATATTTTATTTTTTTTTTCCTCCCCAAAGCGTGCTGGGGCACATGGCTCTGCTCTGGCGACTTGATGCGTGGAGAGGCTGTGAGAAGAGATTGTTTGTGTGGAAAACAGGGCATCCCGGTGTCCGGTGCTTGCCCACTGTGATAATATTTTGCTGGTTGGTGTTTTCAACCGTGGCAGGGAGGAACTGGGAGCAGGGAAGGGCTGTGCTGCGAGCGCTGCAGCAGGGGATGCTTTACGTCAGCCTCCCAGGAGCCTGTAACCTCCATGGCTCCGTTAATGGGGAACAAGCTTCCTCTCTCCCTCTTGAATAGCAGCTTTGTTGCAGAACGTGGGGACTGTCAAATTAGACCTGGGTTTGTGGGGGTGTATGCACGTGTGTTACATTTGTGCCAAAGCTGCCAGCCAGGCTCATAACCGTTCGCTTTCCGTACAGCCATGCCATGCTCAGAGCAGGGAGAAACCATCCTGGGTTTATGGTCCTACCCCCGGACCTCACAAACTAGGTTAGAGCTGGGTGCAAAGATGGAAAATTTGGGGAGAAAATTGCTTGCAAATGTGGCTTTTAAGGGGAAGAAAGGAGAAACAGTTAGAGCTGGTGATAGACCTGTACCTTGGAAAGCGTTATGTGCTGTAAATAATGGATCGTATTGACCTTTAATGCTGTGGAAGCTTTTAAATTTTGCCTGTGTTTAATTACCAGCTGGAATTTTGTACTGGAATTTATTCTCTACTTACTGTGCTAATTCCTGTGCTTGAAGCAAGATTAAAACATTACGTAGTGTGACCTGACTTTGGGAGAATGGCTTTTCTGGCATATACCACCGTATTCTGTATTACTGTGAAACTAAAGGCTGCCTGAAATTTGTTAAATCACAAGCATACTGAGTGCACCTTGACTTTGAGGAAACTTCATTTAAATTTAGGACACATTAAAAGAGAATGAAAGTTACGTGCAAATATTTGATGTAGAAGCTACTGTAGAAACATGAATGGTAGAAAGAAGGATAAAATTATCCTTATGTCTTTTGAACAGGGTATGACTTAACTAATCTGGAGGCTTTGTTTTCCCAGTCTTATCTTCTGACTTGGTTTATTTTCCCACCGTTTTGTGTGGGTTTGTATTTAATATGTAATACTAGAGAGGTATACTTAAAAGTCCTCATTCTCACATGATTGTGACGAGGACTGGGCTGAGGTCAAACGTAGCCTGGTGTAAAATAAAGATTATGTGGCACTCAGTGTTTCTTTGCAGTGCAAATAAGTTGATGACAACATTATTAATACATCAGTGACTCCCTTTTCTCTCCTCCTCTGCTGGCCAGGTCTATGTGCAAATCCTTTCCCTTTCAAAACAAACAAATTTTGGTAGCTGTGGGGGGCAAAAAGAGAAACTCAAGGACCTTGAAAATTCAATATTTAGTTTTCCTGTATGCTCTCAGTATAATATGCATAATATTAATATAATATAATAAACATTTTAAGTTCCGTTTTGTTTTTCAGGTGTTGTTCGTTGCCAGTTCAGCTCATCTCTAGTTGTTAGGTGTGAGCAGAACGTAAAGAAAAATGTATCTTCCTGGTATTTTTGTTTTTATTTGTCAAAAGGCAGACACAACAGTCCTGTGGTTCAGAGGTTGGTAGGTGAATACCAAACCTCATCAGGTTCCTTCTTCGACATGATGTCAACTCTGTTTCTGTGTATAGGCTCCTTGAGCTTGTTTTCAAACAACTGAGAACAGTGTTCTGTGAATTTCTCCATAAGGAATTTCATCTCTGTGAAGTAAACATTTGGAAATAACAGGCCTTACAGAGACGCCAGGGGATCTCCTTACATTTGTCAACTTCCAGGAAATATTGCTTCCCCAAAATTTTACCCTTTTGCTCTTTACACCTTTGTATTGCATGTGTTGCACTCTTCCTCTTTTAAGCCAGTAGTTTAGATTCAAGATTACTTAGTTTTGTTTATTATTTTTTTTAATCTTCCATGAGTTTCATCCTGAAAGCTCCGTTTAGTAGTAGTTTTTATCATAAGCAGCGTTACTGAGCTCCTTTTAGGAGGAGAAAGTGAAAATGATGTCTCCAGTTCAGTTCCTGGAAGCCAATTAGAGAGCTAGAGCACGTCTCATCCTATGTGATCGTTACCAGGTTGCCCAGATTAATACCGTACAATTATGAAAAGTGTTTTGGGAACCTGAGGTTTCCCATGTACTTGGGACCAAAGTTTTGTGGGTGATGGAAAAAGGGGTACTTCCATGTACACACTAACAGAGTAATAGAGATTCCTATATTATTCATAACACGTAAATAGAGAGAAGACCACCTGCTGCATCCTCCTTGGTACCTTTTTTTTGGCTGCTTGGACTTTTATTTACCTTTTATTTATGTGAAAATAGCTGCCCTGCCTCTGCAGAGTTTATGACCACTGGGATGAGACTACTGGCCTTTGTAAGTGTAAATATTAAGAGATAAGGTGGAAAAAGCATCCTGTATGAGTGTCGTGTTTTTGTGATTAAATAAGTCTGTCCCACTTAAGCATTGTCTGATTGTTCCACTGGTCGATGAGGTTGCCAGGAACTGGAGCTAAGTGTTATATTGCTGCTGGTTTGGGCTGGGACACGAGCTCAGCCTTTCCTCTGTAGAGAGCTGCTGGCTTTTTCAGATGGTCCTCCCAGGAGCTTTGTATCTCTTGCCCAGTGCTGTTCGTTACCTGCCGTTAATGCTGCTTAACGGCCCTTCTTGGCCCTGGAGCTTGGTGCTGCTCAGAGCAGCATGGTCATGGGGCAGAGGAGCTCATGCCAGGAGAGATAGAGCAGCGAAGCGTTCCTCAATATAGCACAGGGAAGGTGCACCAAGTGAGATACCGTTAATGCTGGTGCTTAAACAGGCTGTAGGTCAAGCAGTTATCCCATCTGTACCACTGTCAACACCTAATTGCCTTTATAAAAGGCAGCGTTACTTCGCGGAGCCTGTGGCGTAATATTGTGGTGTGAATGTGGAATAAAGATGTTCAACCCCCCTTCCTCAGCTCTCTCGGTGGGGTACTAATGAGCTGCTGTCTTACTGCCAGCAGTGATGTTCTCAAGGGGGTGGTAGGGTGAGAAAGTCACTGACAGGGGTTTTCTGTGGTTCATGTAACTGTGATGATGAAGGTTCGAGTTCTCCCTATTACGGCAGTGGTCTTAAACTTTGTGATACGAGCTTGACTTTAATGCCGAGGTCTTCCCCAGAGCCATAATCAGCATAGTGTGGGGAGGGTTTTGGCAGAGAACAAGCTTTATCTCCTAGCTTTTTCCCTAGCACGGGTTTAGGTTACAAAAAGCAACTGTCATTTGGCTGGATTTGAGCGTATCTGATTTCTGTTGCTGCTGCTGTCATGGGTTGTCTTCTCTCCAATGTGTAATTATAGGCATCATGCTTTGCATAGTCGTTGGTGCAACTATGGATATTCTGTGGAAAAGGGAATATTCTGTAATACAAGGTCCTTAAAATACATTCATTTTTTCAGGTGCATTTTACTGCAGGATGTGCAAGAAAAAGAAGTGGCTGGACAGTCCTTTGGTTGTCTGCCTCAAACTGTAGTTGGGGACATCTCTACTGATGCACAGATGTTGGATTAAATCTAAAACTATCTTTACATACATCCTACTTTAATTTCAATGCTGTCCCAATGGTATGGGAACTCAGTTGAGCACAGTGTAGTGGATGAAGGATAGTGTTTGAAACTTTATTTCTGATCTGCCTGGGGCTTCGTGCTTGGGAAGTACAGGGTCTCAAAGCTGAAGGACTGAATCATTCCAGGTGGAGTCACTCCGAATCATTCAGGTAGAATGAGAGGGTTGCAGAAGGCTTTGGCTGATGGGAGATGGGAAGTTGGGAGCTTCAGTTTGTTTGCTTTTGTTAAGTTCTTGCAATAACCTCGCTGATCATCACACTTTTATAGAAGTTGTGTATCTCTACCAATGAAAGTCAAAATTTCAACTTGAGTGTTGTAAGGTACTTCCTAGCTATTGTCAGTATGTTATTGGAATATCCAGATCATCCAGGAGTATGCAGATAGGAAAAAACATTGTTCTAAACAATGGAGGTTCATTATTGTGACCTTTCTTGTTGTGATTCATAGAATCATAGAATGGTTAGAGTTGGAAGGGACCTTAAAGATCATCGAGTTCCAACCCCCCTGCCATGGGAGGGGACACCTTTCACTAGACCAGGTTGCTCAAAGCCCTATCCATCATTAAGATCTCTGTTTATAAATTAAATAATTTAAATCAGTCACTTAGTTTAAACTCAACTGTTGCTAACATCCAGGGAAGCAAAATAAAATAGGGAACAGCTTTGTAAAGATGAAGCGTTGATCTTTTTATAAACGTTATCATTAATTGAGAATCCAGCAGAGTATGCAGCAGGAGATTTAATTGCAAAAGGATCAAGGATCACAAGCTGTGTCCTCATTTTCTAACCAAACTTTAATAAATATAAAGTGCATGTGAGTGAATGACCAAGGCCAGATCTTCAGCCGCATACAATGTCCTGAAAATATTACTTCAAAAATAACCCGCGTGGCTTCCTATTTCAGCCTCTGCTAACTATAGGATCTTTGTAACGTTACTGACTCTTCTTCTAACCCACTCGCCTCTCCTGCTGCTCTGAAATCAGTGTTGGGTTTTTTTAGAAGCAGCGTTGGGTATGAATGTGTTGGAACAGGACTGGAGTAACATGCAGGGGACAAGTTGGGAAGCATTGTCATCTTCTCTT